ACATTGTATTTGTAATTTTAGCATTTCCAGACTGCCTTTTATTTTATATTCGACCCTGGGGAGGAATAAAAAAGTAAAAGCTTTAAGGCTTCAAATGCTAATCTTTTTCCTAGCTGCAGAAGGAATGCTTTGACAAAGTGCTGCTGATTAGACTTTTTAATGAAAATGTCATCCTTTGCCAATTTAAAACAAATAAAATTTTTATTGTTCCTTACCACTTAAAATAAGGAAGCTATTATTAAGCCATAAAACTTGTGTGAGTGAATATTAGGATGATTCAGTTTAAACTAAAGAGATGTTAGTCATTTTGTTCACATAGTGATCAACCAGTGCTTATATTCTGTACAGAACTAAAGTGCAAGCAGTTAAAAACAATAGGTGGAAAAAATTAAAGGGATAAAATATAGCTTTGCTTTAGAATCAAAGAGATAAATGTGAATGATATAGAAATTGGTCACTATTCGAGTGTATGGCTACATCCCTCCAATCATAGTGGCCCACGACATCTTGAGCAGGGACAGTTCCTAATAAGAGGACCTTGAGAGATTGATGGCGGAGAAGGCGTCTCCAGACATCTGCTTTCCTTGGAGCTTGCTGGCAGGATTTTTTTCAACAGCATATCCTATTTCCTCATGATGACTTGATTCTTAATAATTTTAATAGTGGGTGTCAATGTGAGTTAAAAGGGCTCAAAGAAGTGTGTTGGAGGTGGAAATGGCAAAGGAAGGATACACATTATTAATACTGTGAAGAAAGAAAAATCCTCTCATTGAAGGGGATCCCTTTTAATGAAGGCCAAAGACCTTCATTTGACCTTTAATATAATTCTCAGACTAACAGTATCCTGAATCTAAAGAACTTTAATGTGCATAACCAGAAAGAGATTCTACACCTTCCCATATCTTCAATGTGAAATCAGAAAATTAATGCTATTTAAATGTAAGACACACCTGGTCTCGGTAAGGCATGTTGGTGATTACACTTACTTTCGTATGAGTTACTCTGAATGTTGCATTTTACCTTTAGGGTACTACAGGTGCTCCAGGGAAGCCTGGTCAGTTGGGAAATTCAGGCAAACCGGTAAGATGCTATTTTACCTCTCCATAACTTCTAACCCATTGTAATTAGTGGGTTAACCCATTGTTAACTTTTTCTCTACCTGCCTTCCTCATTAACAGGGCCAACAGGGGCCTCCAGGAGAGGTGGGACCCCGAGGACCCCGGGGACTGCCTGTGAGTACTCTTTTTCCATCGTGCCTTTCCGAGGCACCTTCTCAGGACCTTGCTGGGCATTCATTCATTCATTCATGAATGCTGTCTGGTGTTTGAGCATGTGCTAGAGCAGATGCACAATGGAATGGGAATGCTATTTAGATACACAATACATCTTTTCAGAAAATGGAAACAAAAATAAGTGTATAAAAGAAGCATGATGATCCTTTCTGCTTTCATCCTATGTTGAAGGAAATATGTTAGTGTTATTTCAAAAAACTTTTCAGATATAGTTCACATACTATATAATTCATCTGTGTAATATGTACAATTGATTGATTTTTGGTATATCCACAGAATCGTGTAACCATCACTACAGTTAATTTTAGAACATTTTCATCACCCTGAAAAGAAACCCTGTACCTACCTGTAGTCATCCAACATTTCCTCCCAATCTGTTGAACTCTAGACAACCACTAATCCACTTTCTGTCTCTATAAATTTCATATTTATAGAGAAATTTCATATAAATGGAATCATACAATATGTGGGTTTTTGAAAAAATAATTGGC